GTCATGTAGATTTGTTCTGTTTTCATTGACATACACCTGAGCACACTTTTACTGCCTTTTGTTCTATAACTTTAAACCATATTTCTATGTGCTTTCCTATTTGACATCAGCTATGTTAGCCATACTTTTCACTGTGATATTTCTGCTCTTTAAAATATTCCTTATTTTCCTTTTCTTGTTTCCTTCTATTTTTTAACATGTTCCACAGATATCTTTCATTAACATATCTTTTATTGTTCTTTCTCACCTAGAATTGAAAGGCTGTATACAATTATCCTACGTTCTTCCCCTTTTATATTTTGTCTTTTTTTAGCTATCATGATAATTTATTCTGAAAGTCACTTGAAACATTTCCTCTTTGAGATTTTGGGAATATTCTTTCTGCTTTGGTTTTCCATGAATTCTTGTATTGCTTCTCATAGTTCTTCAGGTTCTCTTTTGCATAAATTAAGCATACTGAATCTTTTCCTTACTTCTGATTGCATGTTCTCCAGGTTGAATCTTGCTGTGACACCTACTTACTTTAATTTTCTAAAACTAACTCATATATTTTATACTGGTAATTCCCAGTCTGTTCCCCAACCTATACTTGGAAATGTCCTGCCTGATTGAACTGTAATTCTCCATCGTCTTCTGTTCAGATTCCAATAATGTGTATCTAGTGATATCCATGGAGGGAGACTATTGCTATGTTGCTTGACACAAAAGTTGACAATAATTACCTTCACAAAATTCTTCTAGCCTCACTTCTGCATTAATGTGTTTAACAAGTCCAAATATTCCTGTAATTCCAGGTCCATCAATTTTTCCAATTTTGGCATTCTAATTTAGGCATCATACTCGGGAAGACATATGTGAATGAATATGTGTGTCTGTGTCATAGCATCCACTAATGTTGCAATACTAACTCTGTTTATATGATGGTCCTCAATGTTTTCATGTAGTGATCTGCATGAAAACAAGTTTGGAAAGTGCTGTTTTATGAAATTCAGCATCCACTTGAATAGTAGCACAACTCCCAATCCATATTTCTACATTTAAAAGTACAAAAGATATGCTACCAAATGTACATTATTCTCAATACTTTCATGTTGGCAATTAGGTATAGGTATAGATACACAACTCTCTATAAATAAATAAAAATACTGTAACAGGCAACTGGGAGTGATTGAATGTCTATCTTTAACACTGGAAAAAGTAATTTGGGAAATAGGGCATTTCATTTAAAATTCTGATTACTCATAGTGGGAATCAGCCATCTAGGATACATACATATTTAAGAACCCTTCCTATGCAGTACAGTAGCACTGAATCGCTATATTTATTGAAGATCATGCTGTTCTGTGCCAAAGATTTAAATGGAAACCTTGACTAAATGTTTATCTTGAAATCTGAAAGTAGTTTTCTTAGGCAGGATTATACTTGTTCTTCAATAATTAACCTCACAAGCTCACAATGTGATCTTAAAACATGGGGCATTGTAATTACCTTTTAACAAATTGGAAACAGGGCAGAAGCTTCCACAAAATTGAAGGCTGCCATCAAAATGATGAAAGCAGGATCATGCTGTTGTGATGTGAGGCATGTGTACAAAAGGCAGAGTTTGTGGCACACTGATGTGTTGCTGCTTTCGTCATTTGCCCCCTTTCACTTCCCCACCACATCCACAAATGTTTCTGAAACAGGGCCTAAGAAGGGTATATGTTCACTCCATTAGAGCTTTTTCTAATAATGAATTCAGGTTGATGCCAACATTCAGCCTCCATATCTTTCTGCAAGGGAAAACTTTCACTTACCTAACCTAAACATCCTCATTGTAAATGCATCAGCAGAACCAGAGCCAGCCAAATATATTCTACTTGTATTCTCCAGATCATTATTATGAGGAAGTAAATATTTCATTTTTGAACTCTCTAGGTGCTGAACAATGCAGCGGAATTGTGTTTAATTTCTAATCTATTTTAACATTAGAGTTATGTAAATTGGATTAAAATGCAGATTTAAATAAAAATGGAAATGCCTGCTGAAATAATTTTAGGCTTGCTTTTCACTGTAGCTTAATTTTGGTGATACTCTAGCTCCCTCTGCTGTACTAATAACTACTGCATTCCCAAATGTAAAAGCAAGAATTACAGATTTGATTCTCTAGGTTTTTTCCCCCCCTTCTAGTAAAATCATTAGGAAATAGTACAGATTCATATTATACACAAAAGCAGTGGCTTCTCAAAATTATAAATACTTTGGAAGGTGCTTATTATCTCCTTGTATTTTAAGGTTAAAGCATATGCTGACTGCTAGTTATTTCTGTAACTGTACAAACAAAATCCATCCTCTTTAAAATCTTTGCATATTTCAGAGATCACTGCTGGCGACAGCATGTAGTCATCTCCCAAAAAAGTAAAGCAGGGTCAGACCTGCTTAATGTTTGGGTGACAGACCACCAAAAAAACCTGGTCTATAAACTAGACTGGGAATTTGGAAAAAGTATTCTGGAAGATTGTGTCAGACCAGTTCCCTAGCATTACCACGGAAACTTGGTAATACCTATATAGTCACCAAGAGTTGAGCTCAGTTCATATTTACCTATAATTATGGTCCTTCAGATCCAACTCATCATGCACAACCCAACACAATTGGGTTATAAGTCTATATGGTATAGATGTTTTCTGAGAAGTAGATTGATTTGCCACACTGATCCTCAGGAACAGCTTTCAAACACACGCCAAGCCAACCCAACCCTGTCATTAGGCAACCACCCCAAATGGTGATGTGGGGGGGGCGAGATAACCAGAGTAGACCCATCCCCACCTGTCTCCTGAACCTCCTAACTCATTCTCTTCCACTGTACTTCCACTGTACTACACTTCCCCAAAGCTAGCCTGCCATGCTCAGGTGTGATTAGGGATATTAGCCCATTCCCAGGACATAACATTCAGCTCTTAAGCCAGTCAATTTCTGGAATACGGAGGAGTGCCATTTTATTTGCTACCTCAGGCAACAAAATGTTTTGGGGCATTTTGACTATGCTGGTTGGGAAAAAGGAAGTCCAGCACATCTGAAGGCACCAGACCTGAGAGAGTTGTTGCATAGCCTTGTCTAGGTACCTTGAAAACTTTTGTGTATAGGAATATTTCTACTACAAATCACAGCAGATAAAATGACTCAAATAACAAGGACAAGAGTACCTGAAGGAGAAAATCACGGTGCAATTCTTTAGCATACACTTGATCTCATGAATCACTGTACCATGTTACTACACAGGGTGTCAGATGAAAAACAGTTAAGTGTGTGACTTTCCTATGCCTCTTGAAAATGCACCCATGCTGGAAAAAAATCTTAAAGAGGAAACTGGAAAATAACTAAGTCAAAGGCTAACAAGCATGATTATGCCATTGCAAAGCTAAGCCACTTATATCAAGAGGGGTCTTTTAAGAATTTAGTGTGCAATTTTCTCCATAGGTGCAGAAAATATTTTCTAACTGCTTTACTTCTGATAGAGTCACTTTGCAGCCAGCAGCTATGCAATGATCATTGATAAAATTACTGCTTGAAAACAAGATTTAAAAAACCTTGACATGAAACATTTGAGGGGGGGGGAAGAGATTAGTTGTGATTAGATCATTAGGGATGTAACTCTAGAATGCTCTAGAGAATGCTCCACAATGGGACAGTAAATGTGCAGGCATACAGATTGTGATATAAAATGTTTGCAATTCCCCCCACCAAGATCCCCAGTTACATCTACTGGTCTCATCAGATTCAGCAGGAGAGGCATCTACTATGGAATGTCAGCTGATGGGACTCAAGAAGAGGGCTTTTTCTGGCATGGTGCCTGCCCTTGGGAACGTCATTCCCCTGGTACTTAGATTGGCCCCAACCCTTCTGGCCTTGGCTTGGCAGTCCAATTGGAGCGGTGAGTCGCTTCAATGGTTACTCTGAATCGGATGTATTGATCATATTTACCGGCTGATTGTGATTATGTTTTTGTGTTTGAGTTCTTAACAGTAGTTTTCATATAGCTGTCTGTTTGCTGTTTTTATTTACATTTTTTTATTGTTCTTGCTGTTGCATTTAATTGCTGTGAGCTGCTGTAATGTCCAATTTCAAAGACATACAGTAGACTGCATTTTCAAAAGGGAGTAGCCAGCCTAACTTGGCAAGTTCTTGGATTTTTAACTTTTTAAAAAAATTGTTTAGCTTACATTTGTCAGGCAGATATATCTGAACACACATGGTCTTCTTTAGTTCAGAAGCATTCACTGGAAGTAATAATTATTTTAATATAAGGCACATGCACATACAGAGGGCAGGACTGGATAAAAACTCAGTGTGAATCCCAAATCCAGAATGGATCAGAATAATTTACATAAAGGGAAATGGAGCAGTTCCAATTTGTTATGTCTCCAAAAACTTCCACAAAGCTATCTGTCCAAAAAAAAAGCCCCTCCCCCCAATGATGGAGTTTTCCGTTTCCAGAGATAAGGGGATGGGGAAAGAAGAATGGAGAGAAATCACTGGATTCAGTAAGTATACTTTCTGACTCTTCTACTCTTAACAGTATTTTGAAAGATAGAGAGTTCTTTGACACCATCCTTTCCTTTCATTTGTACATATGCACGCACTCCCCCCCCAACACATTAATCTATCTGCCTGAAATTTGATACAGATTTTCTTCATGACAGGATTTATTTTCGCTGCAAATTTCAATATGGTCTCTCTCAAATCAAAGGTTAATGGGAAATTTTTTTTAATTAAAGGAGTGTTATTTAAATATTCCTCCACCTGTGTTTACGATATTTGGCTTTTCCCATCTCTTAGTGGTGACCTAAAGCTCCTGCAATTTTCATCCAATTCCAGTGAAAAGTAAAAATGTTATTGGGCTGTGCAGGTTGGCTACAATTCAGTTTGAGAAAAGAGATCCAAGTTTTAAAAAAATCAAATAAATTTCACCACACAAAGGTTGCTGAAAGATCAATAAACCCAGGACAGGAATGAGTAAAAATGGTTAGACATGGCACACTGTATTTGGGATGCATTCTGAGTCTGTTACAAAACAAGAATTTTGTGATTTTTGGTTTTTTGTTTATGGAAGACATTGACTTATTTCACAGCTTTGGGTCTGATGATCTTCGCATTCTGTTAAATGACAGAAACACGTTGTCTAGCCACTTGGAATAAAGCATATATAATTAAAAATGGCCTTTATTCAACCAAGGATGAAAAAACAATTGCAAAACTAATTGGTAGTGGAATATACACAAACAGGCATCTGCAAGATCTTTTTGCACATTTGCCAAAGTGAGTGAAGCTCAGTTGTGCTGCAAACCCCTCCCCTTTTATACGTGCATGCAAAAGCAAACAAACAGTGTCAAGCTTGCAGCGAGATGCTACTTTCATCATTTGTTCCCCCTTGCCCTACCCATGGATGTCTCTGTTCACAAAGACCCATTCTGCTCATTGAAAAAAATAGTAATTACTAGATCAATTAGCTAAATGAAACACAGAATGGAAATTAAACAAATTGGATATACAGTCTCCAGGGTCTCCAATTATCCTCTAAAATGGTAGTTTGGACCTAGAGGTGAACAGTTTTCATTCATAGATTTTGGTAGTAACGGTGACGGTTCTGAAAACCTTTATATGCATACTTTGCATCCAATTTGCTGTGAGGCACTCTGTCAAATGGTTCGTGATCATTGAAACAGGATTCAAAGACTTCATCTACTGCTTTCTCTGCCATCTCTTTAGTAATATTTCTAACAGCCAGCATGGAGCGAACAGCTTTCGTTCTTACACAAGTCTGAAACAGGTGATTAAAAACAAGGTCAAGGCACATGCAATAACATCTGATCAACTGAAACTTTTGTATTGGCGTTAAAAAGGTAATAATTATAAGCTCCATGGATACCTTCAAATATATTACTATCTAACTGAAAAGCCTTTTTATTTTTTCATTTTCCACATTAGATGTATCACTTGGAAGATACCATAATGTAAAATTCAAGTCAATAACAATTTATGAGGATAGTTTATTAGCTGTGTCATTTTCAAAAAAAAG